CGACACCCAATCTTGAGAGCTCTGTCGCCTGCGTTCAATTCCTGAAACTTACCAAGGGGAGCGATTTGAGAAGCTTCAAGGCTGGCTGAACCTTGGAATCAGACAACTCCAAATAATCCAAACATGCTAGAACAACCTTCCGGAGACGAAACTGAAGATCTCGTTTAGACCCCTTTAGCTGCAAAGACTCGGGCGCTATCTGTGCAGCACCTTCGGACATACACTGAGGTGGAGACAATGCAGCCACTGCACGGCGGAAAATGGAGCGAATCTGGCACAGGTCATCAGCTTCCACTTTTTGAAGTGACTCTTCCAATGAAGACACATACTCCTCTTGCTTTGTCTCACAAGTAGTGTTTCTCCAAACATATACTGTACTGCCTTATTCATCAGCCTGGCTCCTTTTGTAGCCTTGGCTTCTGGAACGAAATGTTTGAGATCCTGCAAAAGGCCCGGCCATTGCATCTCAAGCTCTGAATCTGTGTTGATTCGCTCAGAAATCCTCGTCAGCACTTGTGATAGATGTTCACACAAAGGTTGTGCATGCTTGACAGACTGCAAGTACCGCTGCAAAAGTGACACGGCAGACAGGCTATCATACTGCAAAGACATCTGCTGAGCTGGAAGCTCTGCAACCCACGCGGCTACATGAAACGCACGTTTCTGCAGCTCATCAGTATGCAGCAGAGTCAATTGAGCCCAAAAGACCGTGACCCTCGAGACAGCGGGGCCTCGAAACTGGCATGGCCCTGTTGACGGCGTTCAGCGGTCGATACGCTCGGATCCAGCCATTAGAGCATCGCGAGCATTCAAATTCCAGAATTGTAGATTTCTGAACTTCCATGTGCTTGGCACTCAGGTACTTGCGTAGGGTAGGACTTTATTTAGTCCATATCGGACTGAGCTGCACTGTTTCACGATCAAACTATTCAATTCATGATGGATTTGTTTAGGAAGCATCTATATTGCAAACTGCAGCGGATGAACACAGCGGACGCAAGCAAGGTCAAAATGCCGCAAGTCAGCTGCTGAGCCCTGGAAATTTGGTAATCATAATCAATCCAAGCAAGCGGCTGGACAGGTCAGAGCAATGAGCAAAGAATGCCCATCCTGGCAAACATCACTACAGATTCCCTGCACAGTGTGGGAAATCTGACTTCATTTGTGTTGGTCGGCAATACATGAATCAACTAGAGAACTATGCAATTGACATGCATAGATGGCCTGATGCTGTAACCCTTCTCCATTCAGTGTGGTGCGGCCATAGGTAGCGCCGATGAGAAAGCCGCGCGCTCTCGCATCAGCAACTTGCCAAATGCTATCGCCTACCTCGGCGGCTTACCTCGAAAGCGACGAGCATGGTACGCTCTCGTCAAAGCTTCTCGAAGACATGGCAAACTTAAGCAAGATTTCGTGTTGTGGTGTCCAAACCCATGCACAAGATTCTAGACTGTGAACAAAGCAAACATGTCGGTGTCATCTTGGGACAGGGGCGGCCAGAAGTAAAGCACTTTGATCAGTGACGTGATCTACTTCTGTTCAGTAGGGATAGCGATGCACTTGGTGTGTTTCTTTTTGAATCTGTGATGACTGGATCGCAGCGTTTGGATAAACACCTCCGGATCGCAGCGTTGATGAACATCGCGATCCACGGCGGTAGGTCTGATGCGGCCAATCGGATGGACGGAGAAAAGGGCCATGCTTTTAGGTCATCCATTTGCCATACATATACCCAGACACTCCATGTATGCTTACATTGGGGTGGTTTGGGGGTCAATGTAGGCATATGTGATATATGGCATACATGGAGTGTCTGGGATATGCTGATGTTTCTTGCTATGCTCTGCATACATACGTATGTGGGTGGAAAAGTACATCTTCCCAAAGTGCTCAAAACTCTGCATCACTGCACCACCTTGCCGCGCCAGTTCGTCGAAGTTCACCGGTCCTCGTGATGGCATGTCGCCGAACGCTTCACTGACCAGCCCCACCTCGGACATGATCTCCCTTCAGAGTGCCTCTTTTGGTCTCACAAACCCTCCCAAACGATACTTTGGTCGCTTTAGTGCTACCATATCACCCCCCCATGTTTCTCCAAACCTCCACGCGCCTCACGCCCCGACGTCCGCGCCCAGGTCCCCAGGTCCCAGTTCGGGCCCAGTTCGGACCGCCCAACGGACCGCACCACGACCGGACACAGCGGAGAACGTGGTGAAAAGAGTGTGAAAACCACCCCACACGTTTTCAGGAAGGAGTCATGTGGACCAGACGTCCATGTTCATCCAAGTATGTTCATCCCATTTTCCGATGTCCATGTTCATACCATTCGTCTTGCTCACGTTCTCCACTCGTCTCTGGGCTGCCGGCTGGTGGAAGATCCTGGTGCCGGTGGCTGCGAAAGGACTCAACGGTACAGCAAAGCACAGGCCAGAAACAACTGCCATTCCCAGCTTCCAAACATAAGATTCAAACAGTTCCAAAAAAAAAGGACATGAAAATAGAGTTCTTGTTTCTATTCTTGTCAGAAAGGTTGGATTCAACAATAAAACCTTCCAAACGGACATCGAATTGAATCGATTGGGGATGAATGGATGGCTTGCAGCCCACATGGAGAAAGAAAATGGTGTGGAGTCCGATCCTTCTCTGAGCCACAATGGGAGAAAGAAAATGGCCTAAAACAAGTGGAGCCATCCTGATACAGTTGTGCTAAAACAACATGGAGAAAGAATGGCCTAGTAGCATCTAGTAACCCACTGGCCAATTTTCTATTCTACATGGTCAAACAGGTTTGTGGATGTCCACATTTTTCCTCGCGAAAGACGTCATTGGCAGGCTCTTGTGGACACTGACATGCCCCTCATGGCTGCCAGTGGTGCAAACTCTGGAGCTTCTCTTGAGATCGTGCGCTTGCTTAAGGAAAAGGGAACCAAACACTCTGGGAGACCGTGGGTTCACCCACGTGGGTTTTGATAAAACGCCCGAGGCCCAGATGCGGGACCAAAAGAACTCATGGATTCTGATTTCGGAACATATATTAATGTGCTGTCAAGTAAGCTAGGGAAAAAATCAAACCATGATCCCCAAATTCAGGGACTCACCCAGAAACACATCGCCTGATCAGACCCATGCACCCATGGTGTTTAGTTTAGTGCCTCAGCAAGTCATTCTAGGCAAGCTTTGGGAAGCTGAAAACAACATATGAGTGATTGCCAAAAGATCTTCATCACTAACTGTTTCATCTTGTTTCACCAAACGACATGAGATTGAATGACTGGATATCATGTTTGGGGCTCATGTTCCTATGCCCATCCGCAACAAACCCTGTGAGATAATTCGGTCATCTACAGTGCCTCCAGGTACTAGGCGGCTTGGGCAGGTCAAAGTGGGGTTCCAAAAGCTTACAGGGAGCTACAAGGGCAAGTGATTCTACAAATCCCATCAACTCAACGGCCCGAGTGTGTAGGAGACATGAAGTTTGACTCGCTTGCATGTGTTCTCCATTGTTTCACGTCGCCTGGCAAACCTTTGAAGGCATCTTCCAGTTGACCCTTCGCGCAAAGAGTTTGGGAACTTTTCTTCATTACCGGTGTGGTCCTCACTGGTGTAAAATAGAGTCAACTCAAAGCCATTGTTTTGGAAGCATGTTTTAGGTCATAAACACCCCAAATTCAATGAACCAAACAGGGGCCTCAAGACCCCCAACAGCAGGTTCTTTTTTGTGTTTTTTTTGGGGACACTGACTCAAGGAGCCTTTCTCCACCGCTGGATTTGTGTTGTGGAAGACCAAGGATCAAAGAAAAAAGGGATCCCAGTAGTCAATAAGGGGGCCCCTTGGGAGGTTGCTGCCTGGGAGGTATCCCTAGGCTCAATACACACCGAAGAGAGACTAAGCGTAACGGCAACGGGCGGCAACGGGTCTTTCCTCAAATAAAAGCCATGTTGATCCATGTTGCCCTTGTGGCTTCCCTAGATCTTCGCCCACTGAAAGCCTGTACTGTATCCGTGCCGAAGCAAGGGGAAAAAGCCTATGATGGTCAAGAAAACAACCAACGGTAACAACCAAACAAACATGACTTTGTTAACTTCATCGTTCCTTCTTTGCGCTTGATCTTCAAACCGAGGAAGGTGCCGCGGCCCACAGGTCATTTATGGCATTGGCGTGCGTGGACGAGCTGCGCGGCCGAAACATCAAGCTTAGCTGGGCCAACAAGGTTCCCGGACCCCCTCAGTTTTCCTGAAACATGAAGGACCACCTGCTGGATACTAGAGGGGAAACCATTCCCCCGAGAGGTTAAAGGCTATCCACTGACTGGGTAGGTTCCTGGATTGGAACAAGAACCTCGTGTTTTGAGGTATATAATTAATTACAATTGTTCAATCAAAGTTGATCCGTTGGGTTCTAACTGGATCTTTGGGTTGAAGGGAGTTTCTAAGGTTGAAGGGACATCCATGGGTTGAAGGGATCTATAGCGGCACGATGGCCCAAGGGACATATGCAACATATGCATACACACCACCCTCCCATCTCAGCTCTGAGGCTGGATGGAAGAAGAACTCGAACGGTCAATTGAACACATGGATAGGGGTAAACGTGATTGACTCAGGCACCTCATGTGCAAATGGAAAAATAGTTTGAACACCCAAAGCTTGAACCTGTGGGGATTTGTTTAAGCATGTTTAAGCTTTTGAGCCGATGTCTATTCTATTCTAATTTGGTTTTCCCTCCACAACAGGAAGCTTGGGGCTCTATCACTTCCACAACTACCTAGCCATGCCCCAGTCATGCAAGAACTTCCCAATCGGACTTCGCATTGGACCCGTTACATGTGTTCTTGAACTAATGCGAAGTGGGATTTCAGATATTCCCAATCTGTTCCATGTGTTCTTTGGTTCCTTCAAACCAAGATCCTCCGTGCAAACCGGTCGTTGGATTGGCCATGCAACGTCCACAGTGATCTCGACGCGCCAAGTGGCGCTGGCGCCCTAGCGGTTCATGTAGCGCTGAGGCATTCGATAGGTTCCTGTCTGTGTCCCACGTGTCGCGACGGTGTCCACCGAGCGATGGCCATGGGTCCAAACCGGGCGACCTTGGTTGACCGAACTGAAGTGAATTCACTGGGGAGGTCAACCTAGCAGTGTGAGTTCGAAGCGAATAAGTGTGCCGTTCGACTGCCAAGTGAGTCGAACGGAGATACATCAATTCAGTGAACTTGTACGAAAAGAAGTGTCAAAGATTGCCAAACTGCAGTATGCAAAATTGCCTTGATCAGTCCATGTATCTTGTAGTATCTTGTGAAAGGAACATGGTACCCAAAGCATGCAGTATCTCATAACGGCAAACTTACAATTACATAATCAATTTGTACAATTATGTACACATTAATATCTGGATAACAGTAGGTGCATGCAACCCCTTTCTGGTCATGAGAAAGGAAGGTGAAGAAAATTGCTGTTGTTTGATCCCAAGGCTCACATGAGATGTCTAAAATCAACACCGGCGCGGGCACCGAACAAAATGAGGCATGCTCCTGCCTACACCCAACTATAGTGGATTTGAGGTACATCTTTGACTGGAGGTCTTCTAAGACAACACTGACTTCAAAACATCAAAC